CGACCCCAATGTTGAGCAGCAAATGCTTTCCCTACTACTGATATTGATCTAAATATAATCCTATGTATGTAGCATGTGGAGTCTTGGTAATATTCAATATTCAGGGGATAAAATTGGTAGTCTTTGTAGATTCACATTCTATATCAGTTGGTATTACAGGTGGTCATGGGGATTATTAATGCTGTTATTCCTCGGTAAGAATGTCAAATTGTGATTATTCACTGTCCTCTGCTTTCATTGGTTTTTATAGCGTAGCATTTTCTTTGTTCTTCCTAATGAAAAATAGCAATTCTATGGCTAGCAGGTGAACTACAGTTTGATTCTTTGTCCACTTTCAGCTTTGTTCAGTCTCATTTGTGGCTTAGAATGCTATGATGGGGGTCCTAAAAAGACGTTTGTAGCCTTATTTGGACTTAAAAATTTTGTGGGTCTAGCATAAGTCCTTTCTTTGAGGAAAGTACCTATAACTTTTCTTTTCAATATGGTTTTTCAGAATGTCGACAGGGAAAGTACTGACCTTGGGATGGAGTTTTTAAGTCATGGACAGCTGATGTAGAACGTGTGATGAAACACACTTATACAAGCCCTGCTACATGAAATGATATAGCAGAATACTCCAAAAACTGGTGCTGGAGTCTCCCAATCTTAGATGTATACTGTGCTTAGATTAAGTAAATTTTGTTGATCAAGGAACTTAGTATGTGGCATGAAGGATTGATATTGGCAAGGTTTTTTGAGGTGGTTGGTTCAAGAAATTAATAGGGGTTTTGGTACTATACTTTATAGAGAGTGGCTATGTTGGCATGTTGGGTGTTAAAAAGGGATTAGTGCATATTGAAGTTAGGCTAATTAAAGATTGATAAGTGCTCTGTTCCAGAGATGAGGCTTGTCAAGGTAGGATTTCTAACGTTTTGAAGAGTCACTACCAAGGTCCGGTTGCAGGATGATGAAGTGCAGAAATTAGGAAAAAGGGGAATAAGAAGCGAAAAGAAAAGGTAGAGGCAGATAGGCATCACATATCGGTACTCTTAGGGATCATGCCTAGTTCTATAATCTCCTCGGATAATCCCAAGAGAGCTTCTAAGACTAAAAGTTGTTGAATCTTCATTCAGCTGATATGAATTGAGCTTGAAAGGCAACATATAATGGATACCAGGTATCTTCACTCAAATTAGGGAATTATTCGGTCAATTTTGGTTAGTGGCGAGAGTGGATCAGGTAAAACAGAAAGCACAAAATTGCTCATGCAGTATCTTGCTTAGGTGGGAGGCAGAGCTGCATAAGTCCTGGAGGTAAGCATTACATTTCAGTCTGTTCAACAAGCTTAGAAGAAGGACTGATTCATTCTGAGACCAGATTTTAGATCTTTCACCACATAATTTAGTTTTTTAATTGAATACAATATGTGTTTTGGCCACATTTTCATTTGTTTTGCAGTCAATACTGTTCTAGAAGCATTCGTTAATGCAAATTCAGTCAAAAACAACCCCTCCAGGTGGGAACATTTTGCATTTACAGTTTAACTTCTGTATATGTCGCAAAATTTCTCTAATACTGTCTGTTTGAATTTTTTTCTTCTATCTCTTCATGTTATGTACGTTGCAGTCATTTCGTAAGCTTGTGGAGATTGAATTTGACCAGAGAGGAAGGAGTTCTGGAGCTGCTATTAGAACTTACCAGCCAAAAAGGTCTCGTGTTTGTCAAGTGTCCGATCCTAAGAGGTTCTATCATTGCTTCTACGTGCTTTGCTCCGCACCACCCGAGGTAACAAGTCTCTATTTAGTTGACCTATCTTAGTTTCATCAGGATTTGTTCTATTTGGTGGATATTAACGGAATCCACTTTCGTTTCCATAGTGCCTGTCTCTGTTTGCTGCTGTTTCTTGAATCTTTATCGAATCTTGAGTTCAAATATTGGCTTTGAACAACCATGTCCAATTAGCATATAATTTATCAAGTCTTGGAATGTAGATTTCAAAGTGATACTTTTTGACGTGCGTGTGTGTGTGTGCGCTTACGGATTTTCTGCGAGTTCTTCAGGTTGTTGCATCACAAGTATGTTGCCCAAGTCAAAACCCTGGTTGTGGGGGCTTCATATTCTTTTGGCATTGTTCATATATGTTTCAGGATTTCCTTTATCTATTGTATGCAATATTAGCAGTTTTAATCACTGTCACATTTTAAGACACTTAGTCTTTTGTTGCACTAGCCAGTATGGTAACATTTAGGGTTCACTCTTTGCTGTTCTTAGAGGCTCTCCAAGATGGTTAATGTTTAGATCTTCAATATATTGAATGCATTTTGATTTTTGATCCTTTTGATATGTCACCTAAGGAATAGAATATTTTCATGAATATTGCATGGAAGTGGGACACTCAAGAAACTGAATTATTTGTCTGGCTTAAGTTTTTGGGGATTTTAGAGATAGAAAGGCCGGCTTGGAAAAAGCTAAGTTTCAGCAACAAATTTACAGCTCCTTCCTCAGCATTCTTCAGCCTTTGCACAGTATTTTAGGACCTCCATGGTAGTAGCAGAAACCCAGAAAGATTTGTTTTCCATTGTTTTTGTTGCAAATAGCCAGTGCATGGTGTGATGGTAAAATCACACACCGACAACTGTCAAGTTGGAAATTTGAATAAGAGGGCGAGCATTCTGCACAACTAATGGCAAAGGCTAGACCTGTACACAACCCACCATTTCCACCAACTTCAATTTAATGGGATCAAGCTGGGTAATAGCTTGATGGCTTGCCATTGACATCTTGTTGGAATCTGTTGTTCTGATTAAACCAATCCTTAGAAGTAAAGGTGCTGAATTACTTTTCATGAAATACTTTTGCTGTTTTGATATGATCCCAGTCTCTCTCTGTTCAGAAGTTTGTGTGAAGATTTCCAAGTTTCAAGACCTTATAGAATGATGATCTTATGGAATGTTTCCCATAGAATAATAACCTCACTGAAAGTTTTATAGTCATTAAAACGCTGTGTGTGTCTAGGTATGAACGTGAATGATAATAGTTGTTATTCAATTGTTCAATTGGCTCTGGTTTTCTTGTTTTTTGGAGTGCCCCAATGGACTCGGTTCTGGGCTTATTAACTTGCTTCCTCTTATATTAACTGTCTGAAATATATGAAAAAGTGTTATAGGTTGTTTCGGTCACAGCTTAGGCGTTGGATCTCTTGCGTGGGTGAGGGATCCTGATGTAGCTTGGGTAGATTGCGAAGTTGTGGAGGCTAATGGTGAAGACATTAAGGTTCTTGTGAGTTTTCTACATCACTACTTGAAATTGATATTTAAAGCGTATATGGTATATCTGCTTCAATTGGTTGTTATTCTTGAAATGCCGAATATCAACTTGTAATTCATTTTTGTGGTTATTTTATGTTTGTATGAAATTTTGACATGTGGAAATTCGTCCAACAACTTTTTGTTAAATCATTTCCCTCAAATTAGTAGAGGTTCAGAAACAAATATGCAGATATTGATGATTCTTTGACTTTGGTCATTTCTTTCTTTTGTTAAATTTAAGTTACGGGTTGTTGTTAAAACTTCTTGGATTTATCCAAAAGATGATGAATTACCACCATGTGTAGCGGCTGAAATGACAAAGCTGGCTTATTTGAATGAGCCAGGACTTCTGCATAATTTAAAATCGAGATGTAATATCAATAAAATATATGCAAGTATTTCCCACACTTCATTTGATGTTGGAATCATCTGTTTCAACATTTTCTTATTTAATTCAAATGTTTTGAAGCTAATCAACTTGATAGTGCTTCCAGACTTAAACAGGAAATATAATACTTACTATGAAGCCTTTCAAAAAATTGCCTCATTTATATGATAGCCATATGATGACGCAGTACAAAGGGGCAGCCTTCGGTGAACTGAGCCCCCTTCCTTTTGCTGTTGCAGATGCAGCATATAGGTACGTTGTCATGATCATGAGTTCATAATTTGGTTGCCTTCACTTTGCATTACAATGATTAAGGCCAATTATGTGGATGCAGAGTTATGATCAATTGGAGAATCAGTCAGTCAATTTTGGTTAGTGGAGAGTGGAGTAGTTACAACAGAAAGCACAAAATTGCTTATGTGGTATCTTGCTTACATTGTCAAGCAGCAAGTCCCGGAGGTAAGCCTTGCATTTCAGTCCATCCAACCAGCTTAGATGCAGGACTGCATCATGCTGAGGCCAGGTTTGAACTCTTTCACCACATAATTTAGTTCCTTAATTGGGTATAATATGTGTTTTGGCTGTGTTTCATATGTTTTGCAGTCAAATCCTGTTCTAGAAGCATCCGGTAAGGCGAAGACAGTCAGAAACAACAACTTCAGGTGGGAAGATTTTGCATTTACAGTGTAACTTCTGTATGTTGTGCAAAGTTTCTCTAATACTTTCTGGTTGAATTGTTTCCTTCTATCCCTTCGTGTGGAGTATGTGTGCAGTCATTTCGGTAAGCTTGTGGAGATTCAATTTGACCAGAGAGGAAGGATTTCAGGAGCTGCTATCAGAGCTTACGTGCTGAAAAAATCTCGTATTTGTCAAGTGTCCGATCCTGAATGAAACTATCACTGCTTCTACATGCTTTGTGCTGCACCACCCGAGGTAACAAGTCTTTATTTGCTTGACCAAGACTTCATAAACAAGGCTAAATATATGCTTGTAGAGCATTACATTTTTTATATAGTTGTATTTTATCTTAACATAAAATTTCCATTCTTAGTTATCACATGATACATGGGAAAGTGATGCCCAAAAAAATATATGTAGCCGACCCCAATGTTGAGCAGCAAATGCTTTCCCTTACTACTGATATTGATCTAATATATTAATCCTATGTATGTTGCGTGTGGAGTCTTGGTAATATTCAATATTCAAGGGGATAAAATTGGTAGTCTTTGTAGATTCACATTCTATATCAGTTGGTATTACAGGTGGTCATGGGGAATTATTGATGCTGTTATTCCTGGTAAGAATGTCAAATTGTGATTATTCACTGTCCTCTGCTTTCATTGGTTTTTATAGCGTAGCATTTTCTTTGTTCTTCCTAATGAAAAATAGCAATTCTATGGCTAGCAGGTGAACTACAGTTTGATTCTTTGTCCACTTTCAGCTTTGTTCAGTCTCATTTGTGGCTTAGAATGCTATGATGGGGGTGGTCCTAAAAAGACGTTTGTAGCCTTATTTGGACTTAAAAATTTTGTGGGATCTAGTATAAGTCCTTTCTTTGAGGAAAGTACTTATAACTTTTCTTTTCAATATGGTTTTTCAGAATGTCGACAGGGAAAGTACTGACCTTGGGATGGAGTTTTTAAGTCATGGACAGCTGATGTAGAACGTGTGATGAAACACACTTATACAAGCCCTGCTACATGAAATGATATAGCAGAATACTCCAAAAACTGGTGCTAGAGTCTCCCAATCTTAGATGTATACTGTGCTTAGATTAAGTAAATTTTGTAGATCAAGGAACTTAGTATGTGGAATGAAGGATTGATATTGGCTAGGTTTTTTGAGGTGGTTGGTTCAAGAAATTAATAGGGGTTCTGGTACTGTACTTTATAGAGAGCGACTATGTTGGCATGTTGGGTGTTAAAAAGGGATTAGTGCATATTGAAGTTAGGCTAATTAAAGATTGATTAGTGCTCTGTTCCAGAGATGAGGCTTGTCAAGGTAGGATTTCTAACGTTTTGAAGAGTCACTACGAAGGTCCGGTTGCAGGATGATGTAGTGCGGAAATTAGGAAAAAAGGGAATAAGCAGTGAAAAGAAAAGGAAGAGGCAAATAGGCATCACATATTGATACTCTTAGGGGTCATGCCTAGTTCTATAATCTCCTCACATAATCCCAAGAGAGCTTCTAAGACTAAAAGTTGTTGAATCTTCATTAAGCTGATATGAATTGAGCTTGAAAGGGAACACATATATGGATACCAGGCATCTTCACTCAAATTAGGGAATCATTCTGTCAATTTTGGTTAGTGGCGAGAGTGGATCAGGTAAAACAGAAAGCACAAAATTGCTCAAGAAGTATCTTGCTTAGGTGGGAGGCAGAGCTGCATAAATCCCTGGAGATAAGCATTGCATTTCAGTCTGTTCAACAAGCTTAGACGAAGGACTGATTCATTCTGAGGCCAGATTTTAGATCTTTCACCACGTAATTTAGTTCTTTAATTGAATACCATATGTGTTTTGGCCGTGTTTTCATTTGTTTTGCAGTCAAATCGGTTCTAGAAGCATTGGGTAATGCAAATTCAGTCAAAAACAACAAATCCAGGTTGGAACATTTTGCATTTACGGTGTAACTTCTGTATATGTCGCAGTTTCTCTAATACTTTCTGGTTTAATTGTTTTCTTCTATCTCTTCATGTTATGTATGTTGCTGTCATTTCGGTAAGCTTGTGGAGATTGAATTTGACTGGAGAGGAAGGAGTTCACGAGCTGCTATCAGAACTTACCAGCAGAAAAGGTCTCGTCTTTGTCAAGTGTCCGATCCTAAGAGGTACTATCATTGCTTCTACATGCTTTGCTCCGCGCCAACCGAGGTAATTAGTCTCTATTTAGCTGACCTAGATTTGCTTTATAGTAAAGAATAAATACATGCTTGTAGAGCATTTCATTTTTTGTGGAGTTGTTTTTTTATCGTAACATAGAATTTTCATCCCTGGATATCACATGATACATAGCAAAGTGGTGCCCAAAAAAATATATGTATCCAACCCCAGTGTTGAGCAGTAAATGCTTTCTGTTACCACTAATTTATATAATAAAGTAGAGTAGTTTTTGAATCAAAAGACAAAAAGTGGCTCAGATCGTTTGAAGATAAAATAAAGGGTCATTCGACGTGCTACATTACGCCAACATAAAACGTGGTTCAGATGATCTCAAAATTACTAATCCAATGGGCCATAATGAGTCTAGAAATATTTTTTCCCACCTAAAACTTTCCATTTTGTTACCCTTGGTCAAGCCTTCAATCACTCCCCAAGGTTCGCACCAAAATCTGCTCTCTGTCTCCCCTTTATCTCTTTTCTTAGTCGACTTTCTTATACTCAATTTCTATCTCACATGCCTTTCTCAAATCATCTTCCTCTCTCTCCCAAATATGCTTTCCAAACTAAGACCTATGGTTGTGCCCTGAAATTCTCTCTCCCTCTTTCACGTCCACTTTCTTCATTCGCTCATGATCATCTCCCCCTATCTCTATTTTCTCTCTACCTTCTTCCTTGTTGCGCCACTACCCAATCCCCCATAGTTAAGCCTTCAACAAGAAGCAGTGACACATCTCTTCTCGTGGTTCACCGCCAGTGACAACTCCCCCTTATCTCCCCTCTCTCTGTGCCGCTGCACATTTGCTGCCAACGACAGCCAGCAGCTGCCCAGCCACTGTCTATTTCGGGTATCCTTCTCAATCATCTCCTCTCTGTCCATCTCTGTCTATGTGCTCATGTTCATCTCCCTCTACCTCTATTTTCTCTCTACCTTTTTCTCTATTGCATCGCTGCCCGATCCCCTGTACTGACACACCTTTTCTCTTGGTTAACCGCCAACGACAACCGCTCATTATTCTTCTCTCTGTGCTGCTTCATATCCACTGCCAACAATAGCCTGCAGCTGCCCAACCACTACCTATTTCAGGTATTCTTTTCAATTATCTCCTCTCTCACGCATCTCCTCTTTGTCCATCTCTTTTTCTATGCGCTTATAATCATCTTCCCCTAACTCTATTTTCTCTCTACCTTCTTCTCTATTGTGCCGCTGCCCAATCCCTAGCAGTGACGCATATCTTCTTTCTGTTCACTGCTAGCGACAATCACCCCTTATCCCTTCTCTCTCTGTGCTGTTGCACATTCATTGCAACGACAGCCAACAACTGCCCAACCTCTGCCTATTTCAGGAATCTTTCTCAATCGTCTCCTCTCTCTCTCACGCATCTTCTTTTTCTTTGTCACGTATCTCTTCTCCCTCAATCATCTCCTTTTCTCACTTTTTCTCCACAATCATAGCCTCACTCGACAGCCCCTTTCCTGTGTCTCCCAACTTCTGTGTACTATCTATACGACAAATTGTCAAACTATTTTTTTTTTTGTTTCAAAAAGTTCCTTCAGCCCTTTGCTTATGGACAGTGGGCTATTTTTTATGCTTTTTAATCTCTTTTGCTTGCTAAAATGCACCAAGTGGATAATTATGTTAGCTGATCTTAAGATTGGTTTATCTGATTTAATTATTTTTGGATTTAGAATTGACTCGGGTCTAAGTTGTGTTTGCGAAATCCAGTATTGTTGACTTCATTATGGTCATCGAAACTAAGTTCTTCATGTATGCTTTAAATTGATTTTATTATTTTGTTTTTATTGTTGACTTCATCTATGCACCATGGATATCTTTGCTTCTTTAACATGGATATCCTTTTCTAACATACATTTATATGTGATTCTTGCCTTCATTGCACCAATGCTAATTGTTTATGTGCAGCTTTGTGGTCCTTTGTCCTCGTGTACCTTTTTCAGGTGCTACTGCGAACTCAATCTCTATATTATATTCTCTTTGTTGATTGTTTTAATATTTGTGAAATCAAGCATTAATGTATTTGATGGACTGTTGGGCTTGATATAATACCTACCTTTAATGTGTAACAAAATCCATAGTGCTACTGCAACTGCTTTTATACAATGTTAACATAGTGCTACCTACTTCTTTTATATAATGTTACATTCTGATTTTATAGTGTTAACATAGTGCTACTGCATCTATTATATTGGATCCGACCTTCAATATGTAACATAGTATGCTTTTATTGTGGATTGTTTCGCAGTGGCTTTTTGTTGCTTCCCAACATTTTGGACCATGACCAGTTAAGATCTTACACTTTTTCCACATTCTATGATATGGTGGCGGCGCATAACTAAAATGGGTTATGATATGGGTACATCTTTTGAGTATTTAATTTAATTTGTTTATCAGTGTGTAGGTTGTGGTAATTCTGGAACTACTTGCTGCTACCATTGGTGGTTTTCTACCACTTGTAGCCATTTATTGGAGTAAAATAGGAGTTGAGGATGAGTTATGAGGGGATTTTTTGAGTCTTCCAGTCGTCACTCAAAGAAACATTGCTAGTTGAAACACCGAGGTATTGATCAAATTGCCCAGGTATCTCTTGAACTGCTTTACTCTACATATACGAGTCTGTTTCAATAAGTGCATTTCTCTATAGCTTGGATTCTAGGTTAAGAAAACTAGGAAAAAAAGCATAGTTTGTTTCATTATGTGAACCTTTGGATAGCTGTGAGTA